ATATACTGCTGTAGTTATTTAGGGGTAGGTGGGTGGTTGTGTGCATGTGTCCATCTTTCTCTCTCTGAGAAGAGACCATCTCACACTGAGATGGAGTGTGTCTACTGGTTAGAGCTGGGAATCGAGTGGCAGGACTCAAGTTCTATTCCTGGCTTTACCACTATGTATATGTGTGGCTTATGGCATATCACCTTGTCTGTGCATATTCGTTTAGCCATCTGTAAAATGCAGATAATACTCATTTGTCTCAAGGCTCCAATGCTTAATGTCTGCCAAGTGCTTGGAGATCCTCTGATGAAAGGCGTTATAGAAGTACAAACTGTTACTGGTATCAGGCCCCTTACCATGCACAGATCTATAATGGGAGGCTGTTAGCTGCAAGGTTATAGGCATGGTGGCCCATAAAACTACTGCACCTTCCATTTGTGTTTAAAAAGTCAGCTCGAGTCCAGAAACCTGGAGTGGCAAGTTTGATTCCCAGCCCAGTCAATGGAACAAAACACATTTGCAGGGTCATCATATGAAGAGGTAGAAGTTTATTGGAATATAAACATTCAGATAACATGTAAGATAGAAAAACCCAACAACAACATATACAGACACTTGTTGGAAGCAGACGTCTGAGGTATTTATTCACTGCCTAGGCTATCACATTTTTTTTTAAATAGGTAACAAAACTAGTAGCAAGGCTGCTGCTGTTCAGTTAAAATGTCTTCTGGTTTGAATCCATTTGGAGATCATACACAGCAACCAAAGGACTGTGTGACACATTCACATTTGTTCCAGGAGCCGATTGCTAACAGCTCTGCCTGTGCAGTTTGAGGCTTATTTCTGAGCTGGACTCCATCCTTTCGATCTTCATGCACTACCAGAACACGCTGGTACAGAATGTAAGAGGACAGGAGGTGGCTCTCTATGCGGACCTGGTTTGGAAACCAGACAGCACATCTGCACCCACTTCATTCTGAAAACGGAGCGCTTGGCTGCTGCTGGCCCACTGTGCCTTTGCCTCCAGCTGGGCCCTTTTGGCCGCTTGTTGCGAGACCCTAGTTGCTCTGGAGTTTCAAGATGATTAGACACACTGCAAAATGGAACACGTCACACCAGGAACAGTCCTTCCTGCAATATCAAAACCCCTGAGTGCCATACAATCTTCAACATTCTGAGTTAAATGGATTGGAGCTGAGGAGACACGCCCCCACTCCCAGCCCTCCACCCTGTATCTGCTGCTGGTTTCTATACCCCTGTCCCTAAAACCTGGCAGCTCAGCAGGAATATCTGGATCTAAGCAAAATGTGCATCAAGCCAAGTGCTAGTATCAAGCTCAGGCTAGGGAAAGGGTTAGTATTCACAGTCTGAATGGCTGATCCTTGTAGCCAGCTAATGAAAGAGAATAGTTTATTGTTGCAGCTTATTTTACTGAGGTATCTGTTACACGTCCCAACTTTATTCTTTCCCTGAATTTGATAAAAACCAATCTGTTAGTCCCTGCCTATTTCCAGACTAGCTGTGTAAAGCTTATAAACATTAATACTCTAGTAGTGTCAAAGCAGTTTATCGGTTCAGTGATTCGAGTGGCTTTCTGTGCAAGAAAACACAACGGTAGCACATGATACGCAAGCAAAACACCCAATATTAACCTCTGCTCCCCAGGACAAGAGAAGAAAGCATACGGAAAAGCAGGTATCCCCTAGCCCTATCCTTGGGAAATAATCCCCAGCCCCACCCCCAAAAAAGAAACAGGACGATTATAAAGATCCCCCAACTCTGGAAAAAATCTCAGAGTTTGAGACAATGAAATGCCCTGGAGGTCTGCAAGATTCACAAATGCGTCAGGGCCAAAGTCTGGTCCCCACAAATGCATGGGTGCATACAGCTTCCACTAAAGGCAATAGGAGAGAGGATGCCCCAAGGCAGAATGCCTGCTAATGAGACCAGCTAAGCCATATAATATAAACTAATACACAAGGGCAGGGGAGCATCCTACAACGGGGGGTCCAAACTGTGGGCCTCCTGAGGTCTAAAACGCCACCACTCTTACTGGAGCATCAAGCTGAGGAAAAAGCTTGTCCATTGCAGGGTTTTATTGCTGATGAACTCAACCAGCAAGTGATTTCTGTTCACCATCAAGTCTGACTGAGTGTAAGGGATGGGTGTACTTAGCTTTAAATTGAAATTATCCAAAGCACATTAATTAAATTTGTACATGCAAATCAGATCCGGCCCTTGGGCTTCTAAAAGTCTCCAGCCTGGCCTTTACCGTTCAGAGTCTGATCACCTGTTCTATGGTACATTCTCTTTCCGTGAGTGGTAATGGATTATATCACGAAGAAGCAGAGCATTCTGGGATCAAGGGGATTTGCCGGTGCCCACAAAGGCACTGCTGCTGCTGCTTCTGGGGGACAGGGCTCCCTTTCTGTAATATGTTACACAGTAGATATAAAGATGGAGCATCACAGTTCTCTTGGAATATTTCACCAGGAGAGAAATTACCATTTCACCAGCCAGTTAGGACACCCTCCCTCTAGGAGCCTCCCGCAGTGATTGTTACACTGGGGTTATTTATTTGTTAGCTACCTATCACTGGGAAAATACTCTTTTAAACAATTTGTGATAAAGTTACCTCCAGTTTTTTTATAATGGGCCTGATCCAAAGTCTACTGAAGTCAGTGGAAAAACTCTCTATTAGCTTGAGTGGGCTTTGGCTCAGGCCCAGCGTGCATCCCCCACTCTGAGGTTAAATGCTGTTAACGTCAGAAGGTGCTTTGTTCACAGTTCGGAACTTGCTCCAGCCGCCTGACCCCAGACTGGCTCCCAAAGTGGTACCTTACAATTTCAGTACCGAGAACCTCGGATCAGTTTATAAGCTCTTACTTAAAAGCACTTTAGGACTAAGGGGAGGCGTCCGAGACACTTATGGGCTGGAGAGAGGGGAAAATGTGCAATGGCTTAATGTCCAGCTGTGCAGGCAAGCTGACTTGAGGTAAGTTATCCTAGTATTATAGCCCATCAAACCTCTTAATGCACAGTTTGGTCTTGCCTCGAGGTGTTGGGTGTTCTAACAACGTCACTAAGCTGTTCAGTTGCCCCTAGGCTGGATTCTCATCTCAAACTAGTTTTACACTGGCTTCAATTGAGTTAACTCCTAATTTACACCTGCATAAGTAGGAGGAGAATCAGGCCCCTTACCTTCAGAGGGCTGTAATACCAATCTGATAAGATTTTTCTGTCCTATCTCCACAGGCAAGAGCCAATTGAGTGATAACATGGCTGGGTGACTGTTAGGCCATCCCCCAACACTGATTGCTTGCATGTGTAGAGCAGAGAAGCCCTTAGATTCTGTAGACCCTGGGAGCAAAACTGGGCTAGCTATGTTTTGCGTGGCTGTTGCTAACAGGGACTGTTGCCTTAGAACTATGATTGAAAACCGTCCAATAGATTGCTGAGGGGGATCAGTCTGCAGCAGGACTCTCTGAAAAACCACTGTTCAAAGAAACAGTGCTACACCCTGCAAGCAATAACCTTTCACACACATGGTGGGAGCTAGCACGTCTCTGCTCCAAGTACAGACAGATCTGAAAGGGCACGGCACGCTGAGCGTTTCAGTGGAAACATGACAGCCCACAGACCATGCTATAACAAACTAATTTCTAGACAGCTGATCATCTTGCCTGTGAAGAGAGTTACAATGTGGTTTAGACTTGTGTTACCAAACTGTATTTCAACCCCCTAAATATGGGGATGGTTGCAGAGTTTGGTAACATAGGTCTTTACAACATAAGTAAAAGCAGAACCTAGAACACCTTCCAGTATTTAGGTCTTGTCTGCTCCATGAAAAACTACCACAATGTACCATTTGGGTACAATACGGTAGCACACAACATGGTTTGGTCTCATTGCATAAACAGGACTCAGGTGTATTTTTATCTGTGTGACCAAATCCTACCGGTAAAATCCAAAGCTGCAGCACAATTCAGGTGTTTGGTCCTGCCCACACTAGAAGAGTGAACTGTACTTTAACATGTCAGGAACTGCCGTGCTGTAAGAGGTCTAGCAAAATCTGTAGTGTAGACAGGCTTGTTATCTTCAAAGCTGTTCTAATAAAACTTGCTAAAGATAAGCCCAGTACTAGATCACAGAGTTCTGTAACACTTGGGACCACTTGTCCCCCTTGGGGACACCCCACTGTTCACACTGAGGGAAAATCCTGAAACTCAAGCCAGCCTGAGAAATAAATCTGCCCTCTTAGTCCTTCTCTACCTGCATCTGTCCTCCTCTATCGCCCTGTCCGCATGCCCAGCTCCTGGGTCAATGCTGCTGGAACTGTCTCCAGGCTATGCTAAGGACAGGGAAGCCACCTGCTCCTTCACTCAGCTTTGTTGTCTTTGGTGCTACAATAAAAAATAAAAATTAAAAACAAAGTCAGCAAAACACATATAAAAACAAGCTTTAAGATATGCCAATACTTCCTGAAGAGGTAACACAATAACAAGTCCATATCTGAGGTATTTCATCTGCTCAAAAGAACCTGACTCAGGCCTGCACGATGGAAGAGACATCACCAGAGCGGTAGCGGGAGGGCTCAGATTCACAGGCTGTGAGAACATCGCCCGGGCAGTCCTATGTGCTGCAGGAGGGGAGAGGACAGCACGGGTGCCTGTGTGTGGGGAGTGCAGCAGCAAAGAGCTGGGTCTATGGAAGTGAGCCAAGGAACTAACTTGGCTGACAAAGGAGGAATGATGGCCTAAAGCAGCCCTAGCTCCACCCATTGGGAATTTACTGGGAATGGGGGGAGATTTTCTTCCCTCTCTCCGCAACCAGAGGCCTGTGTCCTCATTCAACTGGGATGCACCCATGTGGAGCTGTCCCAGGTCCGGCTCTTCTGTCCCTTTTGCCCAGGTGAACCTCATGAATGATGTCTGTGATTCGGACAATGCTGCAAGATACCTGGTAAGAGCCCAACTGAGAAAAGTGTGTATTATATGAATAGACACACACACACACACAGCTCAGCAGATTGTCAGCGTCACCTCGTATCTCCTTTGGGTGACAGTGGCCCGTAGCCGACATGTGGGGACAGAATGGAGAGGCTAATGAAACATACAGGAGAGGAAGCGCTGCAGGAAATCAACATTTGGTGCAAACCCAGTTCTGTCGAGGGCCAAGGGGCTAGAACTAGGAGCAACCATCAAGCAAAAGAAAAGTCAGGATGACTATAAGGATAAAGGCTTCAGTGGTGAGTTTATTTAGCCTGTCCAACGCTCCCCCAAGGGAAGCAGTGCAAGGGTCATTCAAAACTAGGCTGAGCAAAGACCTGGAAAAAACAGTAGGGTCCAGGCTTGCACTTGCCATGGGAGACGACTAGCTGGACTAAAAGACCTTCTCCATCTCCGTGTATCAGAAACAGAGGTGGGAGAGTCCTCTGTGTGCTGTCAGGACCCTAGAGAGGTAGTTGCCAAAGGAAGAAGAAGTGATGCAAGTCTCCTGTGAATCCAGCATTAGTGACCATTTGCCCTTCAGCCTAGTCTAACACAAAGGAGACAGCATCAGGAGGCTGAACACAGTGGAGACAGAATGGGCAACTAGATGAGACTTGCTCGCTATCAACCTGCACGACTGCTCTGCAAGTGACCACAAGAGGGAACAAATACAAGGGGAAAAGAGACCAAAGTCCCTCTGGGGGTAGGATTGTCAATACACTGTGTTACAATAGGGAAGTCCACGCAACTGTTGATTAGAGAACAGGAACCCTTCCCCCACCCCAATTACTACCTCCTTGCTCCTTCCACCTGCCATGATGATGTCTCAGTCATCTGCAAACCCACAGCCCCTAGAGACAATCCCTGATTGAAAAATTCCGCATGTCCCCTTCCCTTCACCCCAACCCCCCAGCAGGAACACAGTCAAACCTGAAAAAATAATAAAAAAGGCTGGACAAACAGGCAATGCAAACGTGCCAGCACAGAAGGTTTCATCATCTGGCCATTGACCAACCGCAAAGCAGGTTCCTTGAGATGAGGTAATCTGTGCGACTCCTTCCTGGCTTGCTCTCTGCCTTGAACGGAGAGGGCAGAGCTGCCTGAGGCCAATGAGAGAGAGAGCCCACTCCCCCATCCGTCAGAGAGACCAGCTGGTTGAGGGCTCTGCGCTGGGGGTGCCCCTGGACGAGGTCGGGCTAGGAGAGCAGTGGGAGCTGCTGCTGCTACTGCAGGTGCTTTGGGTGCTGGATCCTGCAATTAGATGGACGACGGGCTTCTGGGCAAACAGTACTCCTGCAGGACAGAGACAGGTTTGGAACTGGGTTACTGGGACACCAGAACAACATAGTGCTTAAGGTGAAGCAACTGGCTAGCCCAGACTTATGTACATGGCAGGAGAGGAGAAGAGTCTACCAACCCCAGAGATTTTAGAACAGCACTCAGGGAATTCTACCAGTGAGAGTTAGCCCAACCCAATCAAGCAGGTTCAAGAAGCTGCAGCAACAGTGCAACTGGAAGGAATACAGCAGAACATGTTTAGAACAAAGGCTGATAGAGTGACACTTCGCTTGAAAATCCCCAACAGCTTCGGTGCCATTTTCAATGCACTTTCACTCCACTAGAACTGAGTTCCACTGAGCTACTCCACTGGCAACGCAGCACTCTGCACCCACCTAAGGAAGTGTTAAATGTGGCCTTCAGAGGGGATCACCACCAACTGAGCAGGAGTGAGGGATGTAAAGAGAAACTGACACTCCTCAGAATGGGGTGAAGAGAAGCTAGTCTTGTTAAAGCTGCTCCTCAGCAAGAGGAGAGAGAGATTCCAAAAGTTCCCCTTCACCCAGGGCTGGCGGTATCTCCTATAGCAGCAAGGGATGAAAAGCGGCCCTGGTACCACACTCAGGGTGAAGGTAGGGAGGGATGTCTTGCCAGATAGTTCTTTCTCCCATTACAGTGAAATGCTGCTGGAACAGAAGTTCTGCAATCAAAACTACTTCACTATAAGGGTGTGTCTACACTGCAATCAGGAGATGCGGTTGCAGCACATGTAGACAGACCTGAACTAGCTTTGATCTAGCTATATAGTGAAAGTGTGGCTGCATGGGCTAACCCCGTCCACCCAGAACCCTGAGTATGCACTTGAGCAGCCATGGCCTCGGCTGCCATGGCTTCACTGCTATTGTTACTCAAGCTTGCTTTGACCTCGCTAGACCCAATCTAGCTCAGGTATGTCTACACGTGCTGCAATCACATCTCCTGACTGAAGTGCAGACGTACCCTCAGACAGAGTCCCACTGTACACAGAGATCACATCCGAAAACTGGACAAAGTGATTAGAATATCTCTTTAGACAGCACACACAAAGATGGAATTGCCAAGCAGTAGCACTTAGAAGGATCTCGAATATATAAAAAAAAAACCCCAATGATATAAGAAGGGGCCATCTTGACAGAGTGGTGCAGAGGAGGACTGTGGAAAAGCAGCTCCTGTGTCAACTCAAGGGTCTCTCAAAGTAACAAAAGTTTTGTTTTTTATGTTTGGTAAATTTATATCCGTTAAGAGTATCCTGCATTCAAACAAGAGCTGCTTTCCCCTGCTGCACCACTGCTCTGGGCAGCTGTTGCTTTCTCACCAGCATAGATTGTGCCGTTAATCTCCACAGACATGTTAATACTCCCAATGCCGCTGGGTGACAAATGCAATGCTGCTGCTGCCGCCGCCGTGGCATCTGGTTTATCTTCTGTTGGGGAAAGGACAATTGAGAGTTAGGTTGTGCTGGATCTCCACTGCACTACCCATGGACAATCTAGTACTTAGAGGGTCCTTCTTTCACCTCTCCTTTGCAGTGAAAACTGAACCAAGCCCTCCCTTCCCCCCAGTCCCACTACTCCAACTCATGAACTGGTGGCCTGCTTTGTGGGGGGAAGGACTCTGAAGTTCGGAAATACATCGCTCCTGCCTGCAGGCCGTGAAGTACTCTGGACAGTGTACAATCAGCTTCTATTAAATGATGGGATTTAGGATTTAAAGAAAAGCAGAATGCAGGCAAGTGTTATGTAAGATCCCCCGGTACAGCTCTGTCAGTACACCCCCTCATGCCCAGAGTAGCGAGTCAGAGGGTGCTGAATAGAGAAAAAGGCTTTTGTAAATGTGCAGAACTGTTTGACATTTGACAATATTGAACTTGTTTCGCTTGTGACCACTGCCAGATTTAAACCCTGGGCCTTCAGAGGTAACTGGTTAGAAACCCACTGAATATTTGATACATGGGTAGCATGTAGCTTTATTCAGCTTCATTCTGAAACCTCCACTGCTCTCTCGACTCTAGCCTGAGCCTGAACATCTACACTGCAGTTGTATAGCCCCGCAGCTCAAGCCTGAGACAGCTTGCACAGGCCAGCTGTGGGTGTGTGCCAGTGTTTTATTGCAGTGTAGACATACCCTCAGTTAGCAAAGGCTAGGCTGCAGTACCACTGCCTGCCAGCTGAGGGAGCAAAATCTTCTGAAATACCAGACTCATGAGCAGAATAAGAAACAGAAATAGACATTGGTCACCTTTATGAACATGTGAAACCTCCTCCTCCCTTGATGAACATATCTGGGGACCCCTTTTTAAGCTGCTGCACTGGGAACTAGATACACTACAATTTTGTGGATCTGTGGAAAAAGACATGGGATTGTTCCCCCATCACCCTGCTTTGTGGGACATTCGCTGGCCCTAAAATCCTGCTCAGAGTTTGTGAAACAGCGGCATCACATTGCAACGACCTCTCACAATGAGGTGCTGGCTTTGGTGCAGTGTGCAAATGCCAAGTAAGGACAGAAGAGGTTTTCCTGCGGCTGAAATGTACAAGGGTGACAGCTCAGACTGAAATCTTCTATGTAAATCTTACACATTTTTCCAATTCCCATCTGATGTTGCATTCCTTCTGGGACATCATGGCTGCTGTCCCAGCAAGGTATGCTATTGGCATAACTAGCATTTAACCCAAGAGTGGTTATTAAGATAATAGTAACAATCCCTAGCTCTTCTATAATGTTTTTCATCAGTAGATTTCAAATCACTTTACAAAGGAGGTATAATTGTTTCCATTTTACAGATGGGGAAACTGAGGCAAAGAAAGGGAAAGTAAATTTATCCAAGGTCATCCAGTGGCAGAGCCACGAAAAGAACCCATGGACCTTGAGTCCTGTCCAGTGGTCTATCTACTAGGCCACATTGCCTCCATCAGTGTGTTTTTAGGTTTAGAGGCTACAACTGCATCTTAATGCCAGAAGCAGTGGGAGGAGAGATAAGGGAAGGACATTAGCAAAGTGGAGGGGATTTAAGACATGCCACAAAGTTTGCTTTTCCTCTCACACACTATTCTTTTTAAGGCAGTTTAAGTGTGAAATTTAAGTAGGTCCATAGTCTTAGGGAAGCAAAGTCTTGGTCCAACTGAAGCTAGTGACAACGCTTCCATCAGCTTCAGTAGGACCAAGATCTGACCCTATGCCACATGTATTTCTCTCAACCAGAGCTTCACACTGTAGCACTGCTCCTGTTGAGTAAAGTGCAATGGCCTCCAGAGCAACTCTTTCCCTTCCCCCACTCAATGTCAAACCTTTATAGCCTAGTGTCTGCCTCTGAAGGTGCAATTAGATGGGGTTTGAGCTCTTTAATTTAAATGGATCAAAACGTCTGAAGAAGAGAAAACAGCTGTTGGACTAAAATCTTCTGAGACAATGCTGGCTACACTCCCCATCTAACTGCAGCCCCCAGGGCAGATAGGTGGAAGTGCTGTGCTGTTTAATCAGCTTTGGAAGTCACATTAAAATTACATTGATTCTGACAAGTGACCTTTAAGGATGGAATCTCCACTTTGCCACTGAAAATACTGAGTGTTTCCCCTGGCCAGGAGTGCTGCTTACACTCAAACCTCTAACTCAGCCTTCAGGGGCCTGGAGGCTATGATTTGGGGCAGTCACCTCCCACCAGAATGCCAGGGGCTTTTCAATGGAGGCTGGGAGCAGGGCAGTGGCACAGTAATCTATACTAAGGAGAAGCACGGTCCTTTCTCCTTGGAAGCAGTTACTGGCAATACCATCATTAGCCCCAACCTTATCTGAGATGTCACGTGACCCTTTAAAAAAACCCAGACTCAACTCCGGATAATAAGTAGGGCCCTCAAGCAAACAAATGCAGATCTCCATCCAGCTTACTCCCCACCTATGACCTGGGCTTCCTACGCTCTGTATACCCATGACATCCTAGCTGCCTTCTGCAATCTGTATATGAAAAGCTGTTGCCTCTAGTGACAGGGAAGCTAGGAGGTGGTGCCATACCTTAGTCTCCAAGCCAGGAGCAGCAAAGGGAAGTTAGGGAATTCATGCCCTGCTGCAGCACATTGGCACTAGGATCAGAACAGACCAAGGCAAGGCACTCTGGCTGATGGGCTGGGTGGGAGCACCCAAAAGAGTGGGATAGGTTGCAGAAGTGCAAGGGTGCCACTGCCTAAAGTCCTGCACTGGGGTGAAGCCCACATACCCAGGGTTTAAAGGAAGACTTCCCCTCTTTGGGGTGCTCACTCCAGCATACAAAACCCCCTCATTTAGCATGGGAGCCTCCTCACCCCTGCCATTGATTTTGATCTTCATGGGGATCTGCCGCGCCATGCTGAACAGGTTGCGCTGAAGTGCCTGCTGGACAAGCCGCTGCTCCTCCTCCGTCATCCGTGAGAGTTTCTTCTCCGGCGGCTCTCCAGCCTCCAGCCTCTCCCTCAGCTGTTCCAGAGTGGCTGTCCTTGCTGCTACAGTTGCCTGCTGGTTAGCCAAGGTCACTGGCATGGCAATGCGATTTGGCATGGACACAGTCAGGGGGATGCCATCGCCTAGAGAAGCAGTCAGTCAGTCAAGCTCTGCACAGAGCTTCCCAGTGTAAGCAATCAGCTTTTAAAACCCACTGTGGAAGGGGGACAATGCTGCTCTGAGGAACCAAACACTACTAGTCCATTTCATGGCAGCCTGTGGCCTGTTCCCACTGTATGAGGCCATTTCTACCAACATCAGCTCACACTTCCAGGGCACTGAAATCCCCCCACATTCCCAAATGGAACTGCTACTCCTCAAACAGAATCGCCTTCCTTGCTCTCTTTGCTGGAGCAATCTCAACTCCACTTGGTGTAGTCTGCCTGGCCTAGATCCTCAAAGGTATTTAGGCTCCTAATAGCCACTGAAACCAATGAACGTCAGGAGCCTGAATCCTTTGAGGATCTGGGCCTCTGAAACGCCTTCAGAAACTGGCACTAAAGTGAGCAGATGAGACACCCCCTCCCCTTTCTTTTTTCCTCTGAAATTTACCAGGATATTTCCAATGCGCTCCCAAGCTGGGGTGGCTGCTTATTTTCACAACCTCTTATAGCATCACTCCCACTTCCTAACAGGACTTAGCACTTCTATCACAGTTTTCACCTTCACACAACTAACAAAGATTAGCTAATTAATCCCCACCACACTGCTGGGAATTACCCACCATTTTACAGATGGGGAACTAGGGATGCAGACAGGTTAAGTGACTTGCCTAAGGCAGCACAGGAAGTCAGAGCTGGAGCTGGGCCTAGAGCCCCGGTAACTCCTGGTTGATCCCAGTCCTGTCCTCATTCCTCTATCCTTCCCTCTCTCATTCTGCTCTGCAGTCCTGGGTGATTAGTCAGTATCAATGACAATGTTGTCACTACTGACACAGCGCGTACGTAAACTAGTTAACCTGGAGCTTGACGGCTCTATATCCCTGAACCATCCAAGTCCTCTCACTGTCCCCAAACTTTCTTTGACACAAGTTTGGACAGATATTGAAATTTAATTTCACCCACTGCCTACTCCCCGCCCTCCCCCCCCGACATTCTCTGTCCTGCACAGAGGTAAATAGCAGACCTTTCCTGAGAGCTGCCACTGGAGAGAGACGGGAGTTGCTGGTTCCACTGCCTGGGGCCAGGCCAATGATCGGGAAGCGGAGCTTTGGAGGAGACAGGAGGGAAGGAGGCACCGTGGCGGTGGGTGAATAACTGAACAAGGAGGAGCTGTAGCTGGGCCGTCTGCCTTCCCGCCTGTTGCCGTCGATCGCAGCCTGCAGCTCGGCAGGAGAGCTTAGGGACTTCTTCTCACATTCGTAGGCATATAAGTACTTCATATACCTGGGAGAAACACATGGAGAGGGAAGATCAAAGCAAGTGTACTCAGCAGCGTCTGAAAAAAGTAGATTATGGGAATTCTCATGGTACTAAGCATTGCTCAGGAGTGCTTGCAGGACTGGGCCCTTTGAAGACCTAACTCTGCCAACCAATATTCATTTTTGCTTTGTGGTCTTTTGCTTAGTGTGCAGCAAGCTGTGTAGTTCGGGTGTCAAGAAAGAAAACGTGTGACATAACATTGTCTTTAAGAAATTATGCATGATCATACAATTAAAGACCATAATTTGAATGCTTATGCACAAGGAGAAGAGTTAAGGGATCAACTCTAACTTTCAAATTGCTTGACTCGAGTGATAAGCTGTACAACCATAATGTTCTCTTGGGTTTGCCCCCCGTCTTGGAATTTCTTAGGTGGGTTTTGGGGGTTTGTTCTAAATAAATTATGTAGAAAAGAAAAATAAAACAGAGCAGGCGCCTCACTCTCTGAGACAGCAAAGCTCTTCTGATTGTAAGAAAATTGACATAAGCAATGTGAATTCCCTTATCTGAACTTATGTGACTAGATCACTAGTGCACCCTTGTCTCAAGCAACTGAGGAGGGAGATGCTTTCCTGAATGCCTTAGGGAGGTTCACAGGAGAAATTCTCCTTTCTCTGAGCCCAAAGAACTGCCAAGCTCCCAAGGTGCATCAGAGTAGGGCTCCCACCTAGACACCTCATCTAGTGCACATTAGGGGTCCGTAGTCCTTTTGCGGCTTCAAGGTTCAGAAGGATAGGGGCCAAAGCTCCCATGCAGCCCTTGCTAGAAGCTAGTTTATTATGGTATCACCCTGGGACTCTAGTCACAGACCTAGTTATAGATTTAAGGGATGACTTGATTACAGTCTCTAAATACCTACACTGGGAACAAATATTTAACAGCAGGCTCTTCAGGCTAGCAGAACACAATCTAATGGCTGGGAGATGAAGCTGCACAAATTCAGGAAATAAGATGTACTTTTTTAGCAGCGAGAGTCATTAACCATTGGAACAACTTACCAAAGGCTGTGGTAGAGTCTCCATCGCTGACAATTTTAAAATCATGACCTAAAAGCTCAGCTCTAGGAATTATTTGGGGCAGTTCTCCAGCCTGTGTTATACAGGGGGTCAGACCAGATGATTACAGTGATCCCTTCTGGCCTTGGAATCTATGAATCAAGACCTGCTGTGCAAAACACTGGACAAATGCACCACCAGTATATTTTTCACTATGCTCCTAAATTAGCTGCACAGGGTCCAGCAGCACCTTCTTTCTCTGTGTGCTTTATGAACGTGGTGAAAAATCCCATATGAACTGTACTAGGCATGCGATTTTTAAACCTGGGCACAACTAAATTTGACTGAACACTCACAAGTACTTATCTTCACTGAGAACTGTTTTCACGCCACATTTCAACTTTCTATCCCCAGCTGTTTTGACTGTTTGAAAAAACGTAATAAAACCCCCAAACTCTCCTTGTATTCAAAAGTGGCTGAACACTTTTTGTCCAAGCTTTAAAAAAAAAAATCACTTTGGGAAGAGGCTCCGCCTTGAAAAGTGTAGTGAAAAGGCACATTCCAAGAACGCCCAAGCTATGGAGAAGCAGTTTAAAAAGAAAAGAGGTTCATAATCTCCTGCTCCTGATAAGACCACCACACAGCTCTTATACAGCACTTTTCATGAGTAGATCTCAAAGCACTCTCCAAAGAAGGTCAATATCATTATTTTCATTTTACAGATGGGGAATTTTTTTTTACCCTTCTATAGAGCCTTTCCCAAGGCTCTCAAAGCACTTTAGGAACATTAGTGAAATATGTGAGTATCTCCATTTTACAGAATGAGAAACTGAGGGATGGACGGGTCACTCCAAGGTCACATAATGAGTTAGGGACAGAGCTGGGAATTCCCGGAGTCCTGATTTCCAGTGCTCTGCTCTAGTCACTGGACTACACTGCCTCGTAACCTGAACAAAATGTTAGGAGGCACCTCTGCCTGCCTCCATTTTGCCAGTTCTATTCCTCTCTCCCTAGGTTTATTGCTAACGTATCTATTCTATATTAAGTATTTATGGGGCAGGGAGCAATTACCACAGTATCTAGGTGCTAAAACACACGTTGAAAACTCAGAAGACTATTTGATTATTATTATTAATCACATTTATTATAGTATCATCTTAGGCCAACCATGAATGGGCCCTCATCGTGCCAGGCACTGCACAAACACAAAGCAGTAGATGCTCCGTGCCCCACAGCTTACAATCTACACAGATCAGACACAGGATGGGGAAAGGGGTAACCATGTGATTGCAACAAATGGCATGGTAGTTCCATGATTACTAGTTTTGGAGGGGTGGGGATTGGATTTAGTTTAGCTGAAGAGAAAGACAAGTGAAGAGAGAGGGATCACTGAAGAGAAAGGGGGTGAGAGGGCAGAGCCGGAGGAAAGAAGGTAAGAGGGGTGGGTGTGCAGCGAAGCTGAGGTGAAGAGACTGTGGGGAACAAGGAGGAGGAACGTTGAAACAAACAGCCAATCATGTCCGTTCTTGCCATAGTAGGGGACAATTTGCTTATTTCTTTCCCCTCATCCCCCCCTCTTCCTTTCTCCTCTCTACTCTTCCCCCCTCCCCACTTCCTCCTGTTGCGTGCTCCCAGCAGGAGGGCTCTGTACTTACTGGGTCCGAAGTGTAAACGCTGCACTGGTGATGGAGGTGGGCAGGTTAAGGCCTTTGGTGATCTCCCGCCATATCTTCTTATTTATGATTTCCACCAGCCCTCCCTTCTCAGTAACCAGTTTGTAGAGCATATAGAGATCCAGGATCTGCTTCGCCATGATGGGGATCCGATTGATGGGAGTTCCTGCAATATCACAACAGGACAGCAGGGAGGGGATCATGGAGACAGAAAATGAGGACAAGAAAACAGTCAGGCAGGTTGGAGCTATTGATCTTCCTGCTAATGAGAAATTAAGGCAATCTTGTTTGTAACCTGACCAGAGCGCGCTCTGTAGGCAAGAAAATGAGAGCGTCTTAGCTACACACCAAGTCCTGTTCATGGAAAATCCTTTCTTGCTGGCAAAAGCAATTACCAGACAAATAAAAATATGTGGCTAGGCAGCAACTTGTGGAATAGGCAAACTCAGGGGAGGGGAAGAAGTGGGGGGCTTTTAAATTCAGGACCGGAGATGTGAAAGACAGCAGAGGAGCAGCACTATGTGAGCTTCCCAGGGCACTACTAGACACAATTTGTTTCATTCATGCTCATGAGGGAACTGAAGAACCCATGAAACAGCTCCTGGCAAAGAACAAGACCTGCTTATGCATCAGGATTCTCTGAGTGGTTGTCAAAATGTTCTCTTCCTCTTTTATATTTTCAGTACTTAAAATAAGAGAGCAGAGATGAAAGGAAATGATGATATTTTGGCTATTATATACTCTCCCCCTATCCACACACCCCTTTTGCAATTGCTTCTGCTCATGCTCTTAGTACAATAATTTTGGTCTTACTCCTGTTTCCCCTCCCTTGAGTGATCCTAACCCCCTTCTCCCATTTTAAGCTCTTCTCTCTTATTCCTTATTTGGTGCTGACACTCTCCCTGGCAGAGGGAAGCTAGATTACAGCTGCCTCCAGAGTCCATCAGAACTGTTCCTGCATAAGCCAGAGAGGGTCAGTGGATGATCCCTCCCTCTAAGGGGTAGGATACTGTTGCCACACTGCTTCTAGTCCCCCGCCCCACTCAGTACAAGCATGGGGAAGCTGAATTCTGATACTCTGTGTTACTATGTCACTGCTGCCCCCTCTCTTTTTGGGGGGAGAGGGGTGGTTAGGGAGTGAGGGGGTTTGGACGCTTACTCCAGCACTCTTTGTCTCCTTCACCTCCAACCACAATTTGGCTCTTTGATGCATTATGAGCACATTTGCAAATGTTAAGTCCCCCCACAGCTTGTGTTTAAAGAGACATTGTTGCCCAGTTGATTGAGTCTCAACATCTAGGCTTTCTAAAATTAAGTTTAACAGAAATTGAAGATCAACTGAAATCTGATTTTTTTTTTAAATTCCATTTCAGTGGGTTTTCTGGGTGACATTGCAGACCTTCTCTTGCTGTATTTGTAACCCAAATACAGTAGCAAGAAACTAGTGCATGAGAGCCAGAAAGTGAAACTAACTAATCCATTTTCATTGTCCAAACTGAGTAAACAATCAGCATACAGAGTGAAATGTACATTAGATTTCAGACACTGGCTATGTCTTTCCTGCAGTCTGACACTGAGTTTGGAAATCAGGAGTTAATCTTACTTTAGCCTTATATGATACAGCACGACCACACTGCAGATAATCAGCAGGTTAACACAGGTATAAAAATCTGATTTTTAACCTGCCAGTGCCCATTTCCCAGAACTTAAAAGTAAGAAGCTGGGATTTCAAAGTTGAAACTAATGAAATCTAGCCAACTAGAAAGAAAAATGTAGGCATGGCAAATATTTCATTACATAGGAAATGCCATGCTGGATCAAAGCAATGGTCCATCTAATTTCACTGTCCTGTCTAGGACAGAGGTCAGTACCAAAATCTTTACAGGAAGGCATAAGAAACCCAGTAATGGACAATTGTGAAATAATTAGCCCACAGGGAGATTTCTTCCATCACCCAACAGTGGCATATGGTATATGCCATAGAGCAAAAGACTATAAAGCCCTTATAAATGGTTTTTATTCTGCTTTGCGTAACAGAGTCCATCTAAACTCCACTGACATTCTCAGTGCCCTAAGCGTGTAATCCTTTTTTAGAATCCTATTATGCTTTTTCCCCTCAATACCTGCTGGCACTGAGTTTCACCAGTTAATTATATGCTATATAAAATACATCCTTTTGTTAGTTTTAAACTTGCTACCTTTCAGTTGTACTGAGTTTTCTCCTTGTTCTTGTATTATGGGAGAAGGTAAATTGGAACCCTGGACTGACCATTCACTATTCTGTATACATCGATCATATCCCCGTTTATTTGTCTTCTCTCCTCTGTGGCAAGAGTCACTCTTACCACAGGGGAGGCACCTGTAAAGCAGTAATGCCAGATCTGTTATCTATCAGTGGTATCTCATCTGCCGCTTTCATTTTGCATCCTATAGTTCCCTCCAGGACCAAGACTAGAATCATTCCCAAAAAATGGAAATGTGTTTGGTCCCCATTCACCCTAACTAGCCAGTCAGAGTTTAAACCAAGGGCTGGTCTACACTTGAAAGTTGTGACAGTATAAATGCGTTGGTTAGGGTGTGATTTTTTTTTTTTTTCACTAATATAGTTCTACCAGTACAACTCCTAGGGTAGATGCAATTATACCAGCATAAATATGCCCTATACCAAGATAACTTATTCTCCTTCCCATACGGCAAGCACCTTTATACTACTAGAACTGTGCCCACATAGAGGGGTTATAACACTTTAACTATAACAGGATGAGTAAAGTGGTACAATTTTCTAGTGTAGACAAGGCCTAAGTCAGCTTGAACTGTGTTAAGATTTGTAAAGAAGTTCACTTAGCACGGTTAAAGGTTCCGTGTAGACAGAGACAGCATTTCCGTACAGAAAACTCTGTAGGAGCAGTCTGGCAACAGCATGTGTTCCATCTTCTTGCCACAGCCCTCGTTTAATAGAGCTGGTGACTTATGTCGATGACTTATTCGCTTATTTTCCTTGGAGGACTTGCAGACACTGAACTGGGAACTTTCCACTTCTCTGCAGGGCAGGGTGTGTAAATAAAAATCTTATTTATCCCTCTTTCATCCCACCCCACAAATAGGAAAGGAGTTTGTTTTTAACCCCTTTACTGCTGGATACATATTTCTGAACAGGTGGCCACTTTTAATGGAATGCCAGAGTGTTCCAACAAAGTAGATAATTACAAAAGTTGCATTGATGATACTACGATCCATATCAGAGCCCAGTTCTTTGGTCAGCAATGACAGGGGAGGGCAGAACTGGAGCACTCCTCCCTCTTCTCTCCTCCTCCCCTGAGGCCATCTTGTGCTGCTCAAAACCACCCACTCTTCCCCAATCCAATTTAGAGAATGGTATTAGCTCGCTCATAAGGGACTTTCATCCAGCTATGCTTGGACGGTGGCCAGATGGGACAGCTGGAACATGAAAGAAAGGGCCATTAATAAGGTTCCTCAGGAAAACACAGGGCTGGTAAGGGGAAATACTGAGATATTACAGATTTTTTTTAAAAACTGAGCTTTAGCCAAAACCACAATTTTTCGCCCTCTCTAGCTCCTCTCAACCCATGATCTCAAAATACTTTACATACATTAATGAATTAACTCACCTACCTCACAGAGGGACTGTGAAAATATTATCCCCATTTTACAGATGGGGAAACTGAGGCACATAGTCAAAATGCTGGTGGAAGAACAGAACCCAAATCTGACTTCCCGTACCCAGCTGTAACCACCAGGAAATACTCCCTTCCTCTGGATAACTTTTAAAAACAGGACCCTTATAGAAAAATCTAGGAATCCCGTGGCACCTTAAAGATATGCCTGTATCTGTAATTTTCACTCCATGCATCTGAAGAAGTGGGGTTTTTACCTCTAAAAGTTTATGCCCAAATAAATCGGTTAGTCTTTAAGCTGGACTCCTCTTTTTTGTGTGGCTATAGACTAACACGGCTACCCCTCTGATACTTAGGACCCTTATAGGAAAATCCTACAGAACTTCATAAGAATCTATAAAAAATGACTCCAAAACCCCACAGCATGAGATTTTTAATGTATTTTCTTTAACCATCCTGTAGAGTTTTGCAAGAGAGAGACACTTTCTGTTATGTTCTGTAGGAAAGCTAAAACCACAGCATAGCGGGAAGTGGTCATTTTCTATGAAATGCTACAGGACTTTCCATAAAAGGAGAACGTTGAGTAACATTCTCTTAACTTGCATGAGCTAGGGAATGCAACAGGGGTTGTGTTTTGGGTTCCCGTAAACTCTGGGTGCTCTCCATTGGTTTAGTCAGCCAGAGCTCAGCACATTTCACAGGAGCGGATTGCAAAATGTAGACAGTAAGTGAGGAAAGGCTGCTCTTTGAGCCCCCCTCCCCCAGTCCTTTCAGAGGAAGGGAAAGGTGATAAAGTCTTTATTGGAAACCTCCAGCTCTGAACAGGAAAGGCTGAAAAACGAGCAGCATCACGGGACAGGAGGAGGCTGAAGCAGAGCGGATCCTTTCACAGTTGGCTGCAAGCCTTGTCAGGGCCCATGATGGATTACTGTCATCTGGCAGCATCAGGATTAATGATCCGGAGGTCAGAGGGGAGAATTCCAGAGGGAAAGGTCACCGACCTGGGGCACAGCATAAGACTTGTTGCTGTTTGATGGCAAACTCATTTTACTGTACTTTCCAGCCGGTCTTCCTCTATTCTACTAGCTCACAGAAACGCCTTCTGCAGCCACTACATTGGCTGTGGGGCCTCCTTTAAATCAGAGAAGGGGTGGTGGGGCTCCTCTCCACACAGTTGTTGCGGGAATGACTACCTTTTCCTCCCTTGAAGTGAACCCACTACACAACCCCAGGCCACCTCACCTCTGATACCGAGTAATCAGAATCAGTCTGGGGCCTAGGCACTAAAATAAACAACAGGGTGAGGCATTTGCATCCCATAGAAAAGGATTGCTGCTCAACTGAGATGATGGGATTCTGAGGAACACAAATGTCTACATACTGCAGTCGTGGCCACAGGCCCCAATGAAAATGGGGGCTCTGCTGTGCTAAATGCTGTACAAGCAATCAGGCAGATTGTCTCTGTCCTCTAATATGACAAAGGATCAAGGGCAGGAAAATGGGAGTCAAGATTTTTACATGGCACAATATT